GCGTATTATCATATTATCATTAAATATTATAATAAGCCGCAAACAACGATTTACGTAATTCACGCATTGGTAAAAGTAATAGTTTTACAACTACGAGTTTTTACTGTATTCAGTGCATAGCAATTGCATGCCTTCCCTTCTTTGCTTGGTGGTGCAGTTTTTCCTTCGGGAGAAGTCGGAAAACCCAAAACGCGTGTTGTATAATGTGGGTTGTTGCGAAGGTATTGACTGTTGTTTGTAGATTGTGCCTGTAACATGTGTAGTAGTTAATAGACCATTTTCCGTACACTGCGAGAATCACGCGTTATGCGTGAAATCGAACGTAAAAACAGGACAAACAAAGGTCATAGCGTCTTAGTCGCGTCAAACATCGCGTGGGATTCGACAAACGCGAAAGTATTTCGGAGACATTTCCATGCTTAATAATGTGCTGTCCACATTTGATGATAAGCAATTTCGATTAAGTGAGGGTATTCGGAAGCAATATTCCTCTGTCGAAGATCGGCCGGTCAATGTAAGCTGCGAAATAAAGAAATTCTAGTTCAAAATCAAATCGTTCGATTTTTGCGGCAGACGTTCGACGCGCGTCTTTCATGCATCTCGCGAGATCTCGCAATTGTTCGGAAAATCACCTATTATGACACGTAGCGTATGTAGTAATTTACTACGTAGTACTTATATCGCAGCTGTATAAGGTTGGATATGCTGATTCGATACAATTCATGTGCTTGCTAGGTTATTGAATTAATACAAAATACTGCACATATTTATGAATGAAAATACATGGCTTTTAACATTTCGAAAGCGGAAATAACATTTCGAAATTAGTCAATTTACTCCATTTAAGTCTCAACGATGTGTAAACTTGCTTTGGTCATCGTGAATCATGGATTGAACCGAACATTCAAATCAATTCAACACGTAAGACCATATCCAACGTGAAAACGTATTGTGTAAAATCCACCATAATTAACATCAAAAATTACACAGGCCTCTTAATGAAAAACTAGTAAACATAGGGTGTTTACCATTATATGTGGTAGAATGGTAGACTGTACTAAATCCAACAACACTTGCTCTTTTCCCTCAGTAAATATGTTTCTCCAGAAAATTTAATTTGAAACAAATTTGAGGTCACAAATCTAATACATGAAATATGCTATCATCTCACTAAATTATTTAGTAAACGACTATTTCAAAACTCATTTGGTAATTAAAATTAATAACGATTTTTAGTTTGTCTGAAAATAAATTTAACCCGCTATTATTGCCGATCATCATACTATTAGAAATTGAAATAGTCTCTAAGTTACTGTACTAAACAACACATCACTGATCAGCATATTACGTGATTTAGTTTCGATTGTTTTCTTCAGCAGCTTGTGAAATGTTTGCACTCCGATGGTTGGCAGCTAAATAAGTGGCAAATACAACCTACATACCAATTGTGGTATTTAGATTGTGACACCGTAATATCATACCACATGCAGTTACTTGCGTAATGTCAGCTGTATTTTGCATAAAACAAATCACATGTGGTTGCTACAGTTCACATATCTGAATTTGCAATTTGCAGAGTCGTGATTTAGTACCTTGAACCCAATAATTGTAATGTTAATGAATGAATACTTTGTAATAATCTCTCCATTGATTTCAAACTCAACATAAATATTAGACAATATGCTATTAGACCCGTCTCACTTCACCCATACGTTCTTCTGGGTTGCTGTGGTAACTAGCCTGTAATATTTTCAAATCAATAACTGGAAGGTATATTTACTGTATGCTTTTAGCCAAGGTTTCTAACCCATTTTGGAAATGTGAAAACGATGTGTATAGTTTGTTAAAGTTTCATAGTATTCCGTACCATGACGTCATAGTATTTCCAACTCTAATTAACATTTGATGCAAACAATTTTATTGTACCATTTTAAACTCAAAAGACAGGTAAATCGGTTTAAATCGGCATTTTAGTTTCCTTTTTAAATAATACGAATTTAGCTTGGTAAACAAAATATTCGTAATCAGCACAAAACAGCATAGCACAATACCATCTGTACCTAGAAAATGTCGGAATTTGTGAAGAAAAATCTCAAGTTATTTGCAATGGCTATTCTTTTGCTATATTTGAATAAAATAGCTGTGTATTATCTTCCCAAAGCGAAATCGCATTTCGTTGTCGTTAACAGTCCTACGGATCGAACGTCCAACCTGTACAAACAGACAACTACCGTCAGTCAATTAATCATATAAGTGAGTAACAATGAGTCTCGATTTTGCTAATTTCATACAAAATTTAGAAAACATCATTAAGAAAGGTTTCTAACACAATTTATCGTTTTTCCTCGCGATGACCAGGCAATCAATAGATTAAAGCCTGATTAAAGTCTCCGTGTGTACAAACAGAACGAACACATCACGAAATAATTGTTACCACAAAATGGCTGACTACTAAGAGAGAAGACAGACAATGAAATTCGAAGACATCCTTGTTATCCTTGGGGATTTTGGTCGATATCAGCAATTGCAGTATTTTCTCATCTGCATCCCGATCATGCTCTGTGCGTGTAATGATATGGCAAACACGTTCCTCAGTGCTTCATCTGATCACTACTGTAGAGTACACGACACAGACATATCAGGAAAACTCACGAATTAAAGAACTGTACAATTCCGTACGAAGTTGACGAAGGTGAGGTTGAATGGTCGAAGTGCGATCGGTACAACGTCACGGATCAAGACTGTTACGATGACCAGACGGAGGTAATGCCATGTGACAATGAATGGGTGTATGACAGAAGTACATACGAAAGAACAGTCGTACATGATGCAAGTATATTTAATTAATTTTGTGAAGAATATCTAATAATCCATCAGCGTATTTGGCTATTAAAAATAAATTTCGATGTTATTGCACGAAGGTGAAATTGTATTAATCTTCTCAAACCGCCTACATCGTTTGATCCATGCTGCCAACTGATGTGTATGATGACAATACCTTTGTATCACAATTGTTATGTTTCGTTTTTACGTAGTTCGATTTAGTATGTGAGAAGGACTGGATGAAACAGCTGTCAAAAGCAATTTATCCGCTTGGCTCATTATTTGGCACAGCTGTAATTGGTCAATTATCGGACAAGTAAGTATATATCACGCGTACAACTGCGGTCTACAGTTTATATTACGTGTGTAATTGTGTTTTGTTGTTAGTCTTGATTTTCTATCATGTGCGAAATAATATTGTTTATTTGAGAATTATTTTTCTCAACTATGACTAATTTATTTCATTGGATATCATTACTCAGTTGGTATAGAGACATCAACAACATGTTTACGTTACTGTGTAAACGCAATATTATTCCGGCTCCACCCAATGAGAACCGTTATTCTATATACATCAGATATATTTAAATATAAAAAAGTATTATGATGTAATTTACTTTTTGACCCCAGTTCGTTGAAATTTACATATATTAATAAAATGTGTGTGTATTTGTTGTACTAATTTGTTTGCGTGTAGTAGGACGGTGATAACGCTGTCATGATATTCACTTCTCAACGAAAATTGTTTATGTTGGAGATGTGTAATTTCATTTTTTTTTTAGATTTGGTCGAAAACCATGTTTTATCTCCAGTTTATTATTACTGATTCTCGTTTTACTGCTCACCGCATGTGCTCCAGTATACGCTGTGTTTGCTGTAGGTCAGTTTTTCATTGGGTTTCTATCAGCTGGCATATGTAACGTTGCATTTGTTCTCGGTAAGTATTATTCATTAAGTAGCACAAACGACCAAACTGTCGAATTAGCTCTTCTGTTGTCTTAGTAGAGTTTCTACCTCAAAAGTTGTAAATGTTCTGTATGATGCGATATTAAATAATTGCCATGGTTGATAATGTTACCATGCTCTTCCCGTAGTAGTTTATTTGGTTGTTGCTATGGCAATTACATTTGTTATCATCTCATACTTCACATACCATGTATCAAAGCAATTGGGCTGGTAGTTTTCAAGAAGAAAATGAAAATAGAATATTTTACGAAAAAATACAAAAATATTTGCTAAACATTGAGAATTGAAGATATCATCAAGAAATAACTAAATCTGGAAGAGGCTTACCCAAGTCTCTCGCATACCAAGAACAAAATCAACTTGGCTGATAAATGTCAAAAAGAGGACAATTATTGACGACTTATGTACGGCCAACAAGAACCAGCTCTATGACAGCCGAGCTAATAAAGTTTGTTCGTCATAACTATGCAAGCACATTATCACAACTTCTCTGTATCAAGTGTCCATAATAATTGTAATATACCCACTTTCTGATATGTCATATTCTCATGTTAACTTGCAGGTTTAGAGCTGGTTGGACCTAGGAAGCGTGACCTTGCTGGTATGGTTATACTCATTTTCTATGCATGTGGATACATGATGTTAGCTGTCTTCTCAAAAGCAGTCAGCGGCAACTGGCGTCAGCTTGAGCTATTATTAGCAATTCTTTACATTCCGTTCTTTTCGTACTATTGGTGAGGAGTAGATGTATTATTCTCGTTTCAAACATCACTTATTTACGGGTAAAATAAAAACATATCCAAACCATATTCATAATCATTGAAGTGAATTCACAATTGCAATTTTCTTTTTCACAATACACATCCACCAAAAAAACCCGAAAATATGCAAATGGTTGACTACTACAATACAATCACACAAACAACAAAAAATACATGAAAGGGAAACAATTAACCAGTACACTACAATTTCAAAAAACACATGAACATTCCTCATTTTATTATATGCATCAAATGTTGTTATAATGTTATGTTATGTTATGTTATGTTATGTTATGTTATGTTATGTTATGTTATGTTATCTTATCTTATGTTATCTTATGTTACTTAATATTGTCATAAATCACCACTTGTTGAGTGTCTATATATATTTCTATTACTGATCATTTTGCCCTGCCGTGTCTGACAGGCTAGTTCCTGAGTCTGTTCGATGGTTGATGCAGCAGGGGAGGTACCGACACGCAGAAACAATTCTTCAAAACGCTGCCAAAATGAATAAAGTTACATTGCCAGAGAATGTTTTGGAGGACGAAAAACAAGCTCAAGAGACACTTCGGGAGGAACAAGAAAAAGGACAAGTATATCTATCTATATATAAATGTTATAATTGCTTCAGGAAAACCAATCAGTGCATCACACACATGTAATAGACATATATTCGGATAAAGTGTATCGTGATATTGAAAAACAATGTTCATACATAACAGCAGTATTATACTAATTCATGAAATGCAATAAATATAATTCATCGATTTTCATGAACAGAAAATAAAAGAATTCACAGTGCTGGATCTGATGAAAACAAGAAACCTCAGACGTAATACGATTATAATCGCCATCAATATGTAAGTTTGAAAATGTTCTATTTTTTTGGAATTATACACTAATTATCTTCAAAAGAAAGACAAAATACGCCACATACATACATGTAATTTTATATTTATGTTTTGTTTGTTGCACTATATAGTTTCTGCAACTTTCTGGTATATTTTGGATTATCTGCTAACACTAACGTATATTCATCCAATGCCTATGCAAGCTTCTTCGTTTCTGGTGCGGTAGAAGTGCCAGCATATCTTTTGTCGTGGTTTTTACTGGACAGAATTGGACGGCGATGGTTGACATGTATATTTATGTTAGCAGCGGGACTGGCGTTGATATTGATAGTCCCAGTTAGTAATCAATGTAAGAAAGACTTCTCAGTTGAATATAAACAGGTGTTAACAACATGATAACATTTAGATGATTTGCATTATCAACTTGTTTTCGACAGTGTACATACTATAGTTAAAAAAAATCACATATGTAATGCATCAACAAACTTATCACTCTCTTTGCTATTGATTAAATATTTTATATTTACAGCACTTAATGAGTTGGTTACCATTTTGGCATTGTTTGGAAAGTTTTGTATTGCTGGTTCTTTTGGTGTAATCTACATATTTGCAGCCGAGATATTCCCAACTCCTGCCAGGTAATTATGTAATTCATAGTAAGGCTAGGTCTAGTATACATTAAGCTCGTTTCTACTGGTAGAATAGTGGCTGTTGCTTCAGACTCATGATCGGTAGACCTAAGTTCAAAACCTACCTTACGCGACACCAAAAAAGGTCGACCTCCTACCCCGGGTGAGTGCGCCACACACTCAATGGGAAAGCCGATTCCACTGGCCGAGAATCATTTACTAACGAATGCGACTTTGCGTGAACCTTGGTTAAGGTCCGCAGGTGCTTGTGTTCGACGGGACTGGTTGACGCATTAATAGGACGAAGGATAGCACTTTGTATTGCCATTTGATAAACAGATGGCTACAGCCCTGTCATGTCGCCCCGAACATGAATATGGCTTCTGTCAGCACTATCACTATTATTTGCACATGAAAAAAAATGGTCAAATAATATTATGGTATTACCACATGTATGATTGTACTCACACAGAGCTGCTGGTCTTGGATTTACGGCTAGTTTTGGAACATTAGGTAGCATAGCGGCGCCGTTTGTAATGCTTCTTGGCAACTACGTGTGGGGTCCACTTCCGTTTCTTATATTTGGTGTAAGCTCCGTAATAGCTGGTCTCCTAGTTTTACTTCTACCAGAAACAACGGGCGTGCCACTGCCCGAAACATTGGAAGAAGGGGAAATGTTCGGAAAGTAAGTATCAACTCACGTATGACACTACGTCTGTAGGTATGTTATATTACCACAATTAGTCGATGTCGAACCTCTCATTGTGTTAATAATAAATTGATCAATGCATATATCAAATGCTTCTTGGATACATTTTACAAATAGTCGTGGTCATTATGTCATATGTATCATTTTATCTAAAGACTACAATTACTATATATCATCAGTGACATACACACACAACCACAACTCTAATAATAAAGTGGACCTACCCAACCCTATATTGCCCTACCCAGTTTTACCATACACAGCCATACTGTACATTACCCTACCAATTATTCACTAAACATTCTGATAAACAGATAAACTCGTTTTGTTTAATATTTTTATTTCAGAAAATCTTATCTGCCATCAAGAGATATTGGATTACAAGTGGATCTTCCGGAATTGGATTTATCTTGTCGTATCTAAAACATTTAACATTATACACCGCAACATACGATCCAAACATGTATAATAATAATAATAATAACAATCTTATTGACCAAAAATATATATATGGTATAATCAAATATTTGACTGACAGGTAGTTTTGTCAGATTTGTTCTTCACGTCAAAGTCATTCTGAAATTTGACAGTTCAGTGCATGGCAATTTCATGGCTCCCCTTTTCTGTTTGGTGTCGCAGTTTGGTTTCGGAAGAAGTTGGAAAACCGAAAACAGTCGACTGCGACAGGCATGTTGTATCATCTTGGTTTCTGCGAAGGTAATGTCTGTTGTTTGTAGTTTAAGCTTGTAACTTGAGTAGTAGTTAATTGTGACATGTGGTGTATGTACTACTTTAAGAAAAATCATGCGTTAATAACGAATATTGCTGTATAACGTTGGATATTCTGATTCGATAAAGTCGACATATGTGCGAGTTAGGTTATTGAATTAATACAAAATATTGCACGTGTGAATATTTGTATGTGTTTTGGAAATAAATATGACATGTGTCTGCATCGAGCGAAATATTAAAGTTAAGTGAGCATGTTAATAATAATAATAATAATAATAATAAATTATATGATTTATAATAATAAAAAAGTTATGTGTGGCTGCTACAGTTCCCATATCTCAATTTGAAATTTGAACTCAGTAATTGTAATGTAAATGAAAGAATACTTTGTAATAATCTCCATTGATTGCAAACACAGTATAGATATTAGAAAATATGGTATTGGACCGACCCATCTCTCTTCACCCCCATATTACGTTCTTCTGGGTTGCTGTGTTAACTAGCTTTTAATATTTTCAAATCATTAACTGGGAGCTTTTCATTGGACCAATATCATAGAGTATATTTACTATATGATTTTAGCCAAGGTTTCTGACCCATTTTGGAAATGAAAAAAATGGTTTGTTGCCCTCAGCGACCGACCGCAAAATATGAAATATCGGGTCGCGTTTTTTTTAATAGACCCAAATATTAAAAACTCACCAATTTAAGCAGTACATAAGTGTTTCCTCTAAAATTTACGATCCTGGTCCGTTGTTTGATCCCCAGGGACCCCGGGGGATAAGTGGCGACTTTGAACCTCGGGTTGATCTGTATTTCTCTGACATGATCTGAATACTATGAAGTCTGAAGAGCAAACACGTCTTTTGCATTTCAGGCCAATTTGACATTTGCGATTTGCGTTGGTGCACAATATTAAAAATATCGAAATCAAAAACAATACGTTTGTTGTAGTAAATATAATTTTTAATACATGCACAAAATTTTATTGAATTTACAAAACGTGACCTTTTATATTAAAACTCTCATCCGCTTACATCACAAACAAAACGACGGCTTGTGCACGTTGTTTTAGAGCTGTCAGTTTTCTCACTTCCGGGGT